TACAGAGAGAGAGAGATTAAGGCTTGAACTACACAGCACACCCTGACGGTCATGCTGCTCCCTGGGCTCCAAGGGGAGAAAGAGGCTGTTGGGGCATGTAAGAGCTAGACTTAACTGACAACTTGATACAACCCCCAATCACCGGGAGTCTCAGGGAGGAACTGTCTAGATCCGGTTGGCCTGTGGGCCTGCCTATGGGAGATCATCCTGATTATGTTAAGGTGTAAAGGCCCAACCTAAAAGTGATTGACACCATCCCCTGGGTTTGTGCCACAGACTGCAAACAAAGGGAGGAAGCAGAGTCACTGAGTTGGCTCATCACAAAAAGGCACTTGGAGCCAAGTTTTACAACTGGATCTATCCCCTGGGACCTTACACACTGAAAGGCAAGAACTCAGCTCCCAAAAGCCGTCTCCTCACTTGCAAATGCAAACCTACACATACATATGTGAATAAATGTAACTTTCAAATGAATAGAAATACGTTCTGGGTGTGACAGCTCACACCTTTAATCCTAGCACTTGGAGAAGCAGAGACAGATGGGTCTCTGGGTTCTTAGGCGAGACCCTGCCTCGAAAACAAGCAGAGATGAGAGCAGCACAGACATGCATGCATCTATTGCTCTCTCTTTCTGGCCATGGCACACACTAACCCGTTCTCTCCAACTCCTGCTTCAATGACTCCCCTGTTCAGCACAGACCCGGAGCTGTGAGCCAAATAAACCCCTGCTTCCCTTAATTGCCATATCACGGAAACAGGAAACAAAGCTAACGAAGACAGAGCATAGTATGTCAGTGCGCAGGGCAGCAACCTCTCATGCAGGAGCTCGTAGGAAGCAACAGACAAGGCGCACAAACTGTGTCTGGGGTAACAACAGCTATCACAAAATAATGATAATGACAACAGAACCAATACCGATAACCACTGGTCCAGCTAGTTTCCTGCCCATGCTGAATGCGTCACAAGTCCTCGGTTCTGAAGTCACACTCCTAGAGCTTCAATCCCAGCGCCTGAAACTACCACTTGACAGCTGTGCAAAATCAGACACCTCACTTCATCTGAGCCTTCATTCCCTGATCAATAGTCATTCTCACTTCATGGACAACAGCTATGAGGGGAAAACAGGAACAGAGAAAGGAAGGCATGGGTAAAGAATAGCCATGAGACCGAGATGAGACTTTTGAAAGATAAAACATATCACATTTGGGTCTGGTGGTGGTAACACACATCTTTGATCCCAGCACTCAGGAGGCAGTCAGGTAGATCTCTGAGTTCGAGGCCGGCTGAGTCTACAAAGTGAGTTCCAGGACACTCAGGGTTATTACACAGAGAAACCCCCGTCTCAAAAAAAAAAAAAAAAAAAAAAAAAAAAAAAAAAAAAAACAGAAACAAAACATAGCACACTTAACTATATGCTAGTTTCTATTAACGTCTACAGCATCTGGTTACCTATGCATCAGTCAGTGACTTGAGGATGTCCACAGATTCAAGTAGGGTTTCATGTCTTCGTTACAACAAGGTCACTAGTAGTTCAAGCTGCTCTCAAACTTGCTATCTAGCCAGGCTGACCTTGAACTCTTCGGATCCTCCTGCTTCCGCCACTCAGATGCTGGGATTTACTGGAAAAACTAAGAGTTCTATTGGGGCAAGTGAGATGGTTCAGAGAGTAAAAATACTTTCCCCCCAAGCCAAACCACCTGCGTTTAATCTCCAGCCTAGTAGCATCTTCCTAGCCAGGGTATTTGTTAATGGCCACACCCCTTTGGGCGTGGCTTCAGGTGATAACAGAACCGGTTTCTTGGGTTGTGGATAGGATGGGAAGGGCAGAGAAACACTGCGGCGTTTTTTTGTTTTCTTTTTAATTATTATCTGTGTTAAGTTGTTCCCCAATAAACACCCATTTATCATTTATCTTGGGTGTAGTGACCTCATTATCACCCACCTTCACTCCAGAACCTATAATTTCTAAAAACTGTCCCTTGACCTCCACACTCAAGCCACTGCTGCCACGTCGCTCGTGCACACTCAAACAATTACAAATTTTTTTTTTTTATAATTTTTGAAAAGGGACATCGGATCAGAAATGGTATGGAGAATGGTCTTGCAGGGATCTGAGGGCTGTCTCGGGCGAAGTGAACTGCATGGGGGAAGGCTGGAGAAGTAAAGGGAACTTTCGGTCAGGAGGGTACAGCTGAATAGCAGTGAGCCAGAGAGGAGAGGAAACAAGACCCTAAGTGGATCGGGAGTTGATGGAAGTCCTTACGCTGGAGCATCACTTACCTTTCAGTCTCTGAAGTAACTCCTGGAGGCTGACGTTCACTCACCTTTGTTTCCTTCCTTCCTTCCTTTTCTTTTTTTCTAGTCCGGGTTTCTGTGCTCTGGCTGTCCTGGACCAGGCTGGCCTCGAACTCAGAGATTCATTCGCCTGCCTCTGCCTCCGGATCATTCACCTTTCAATCCTACTGGAGGCCTGACATTCTTGGCTTGAGGAAGCTGGGGTGGGGGTTTGGGGAGGGATGGGCTAACTAGCAGAGGGGCATTCTGGAAACTGAGGGCCATGTGTGTCCTTTATTAGAGGCAGAAGCAACAACGACAAGTAGGAACTAGTTATTAAACCAGATCCTACATGTCTGTTGCTTATTGTCACAGAGGTTATCGTTAGGCCTCTAGACTATCACAGGAAATAGCCATCTGGCTCACTGTAGATGAGACTTACAGACTGACTTCCAAGGTTCTTTATTACAGAAAGGGCGGCAGGTTGCTACCGATCATGACTCAAAAGTCCTACTTCCTTTAGGTACGGTCTTCACTGCCCATGTGTATAAGTGAACCTCTCAGGTGCTAAGTGGATTTAAAAATAAGTACATAAATAAAGGAAATAAAGGAAAGGCCACGGCCGCTCCTAGGTATGGTGGAGAAAATATACACATATGTGTATATATGGATGGGGGGGGGGCATACAGTCAGAGACAGGGACATCCAGAAGAGAGTCCTGAGTAGACATGGCCCTGAGAGGGGGGGTAACCAAAATGGTTGCATTGCATAGGGAATGTTAACTGGGGCAGGGCTGGCAGCCCCTGCGCCGGAGTTTATGGTAGAGGTGCTATGCCAGCCAAGAGGACCCTGGACCAGGTAGAGGCTGCTGGGAGAGCCTGGCGGCCAGGTCCGCTTAGACACTAAGCGGGCACCTCAGCCATTTGAGACCTGACACTAAGACCGGGAAAAACTGGGTGACTATGCGGAGCCACTTTTCCCAAACACACACAACTACAGCGACAAGCCGGGGAGAGGCTCTCTTGATGGACAACCCGAGGAGGAGGCATCAGCAACCTCCTCCAACCCCCCTGCCCGGGTCCATCCTCGCCGACGCCACCAGGACACCCTGCGATGTCCAGGATTTGCATCTCAGAGGAGACGCCCCTCAGCCAGGCTAGGAGTTCCACAGCCCTGTGCGGACTGCCCCGCCGCGCAAGCATGACGTCGTGGCACGGCGACAGCAACGGGCCCTTCGCTAGGCTTTTCACTTACCCAGCGACACAGGCAGGACTCGTGCGCTGTGCCTTCTGGGTAATGTAGTTCTTTCTCTGCTGGCACCCGACCCACCCCCACCCCCCAAACTGAAGTGCTGTTTTTTCTTAAAAGCACTACAGACCCAGCTTAGACACACCAATTGCACTTGTTTTTATTATTTGGATTTGTCTCACTAATTTTTGGGACGGCCTCCTCGCTAAGTTGGCCCACTTGGCCTTGAACTTCCTTGGGCAGGCCTTGAAAATTGCCCTGCCTCAGTCTCCTGAACATTTTGGATTGTAGGCACTGGGTCATATACCAGGCATGGAGTCCAACCCACCCAGAACAGCGCACACAGCTCTCGAGGATTCAGGGAGTGGGTGAGACTACCATACTTTTGAAAGACCCCAAGAGTTCGGAGTCTGGCAGGAGAGGCCCTTGCCCCAAGAGACGAGACCAAACCACTGGATGCAAGCTCAAGAGGCTGTTTATTGCTCACACAGGTACCTGTGGACACTTCAGTCTTTCAGGGAACTGAGCGTGCTGAGGTTAAAACTCAGGCAGTTTATATAGGGTTGGGGTGGCAAGAAGCAGGCTTACAGAAGCAGAAGCATGGTTACAGGGATTTCATTGGTCCATTCAATTAAGGCAACTGGGGTCAACCAAGGACAGAGTTGTTTATTCGGGTTGGGCACAAAGAATTCAGTTATGACTATCTTAGCACTTTGGTGGTCTCGATAGAATGCTCCCAGGACCTTCTGTTCCCGGATATCGTCCTGCTGACCTTGCCTTGGTCCAAGCTGCAGACCACAGATATCTGGTAGGCATCAGAGGAGAGGAACATCTGGTTCCCTCCTGTACCTTCCCAGAACTTGACCTTGGCAAGTTAGCAAGAACAGCTCATAGTGGGGGTCTTTCACTTTCAACATAAAATGTAGACTAGAGGTGTCGAGTGTGGGTCTGGAAGCTTGTCAGAAAGTCTGGCAAATGAAAAATGAGAAAGTGGTCACCCTACAGGACCCCAGACATCTGCACACATTGCATGGTGGGCCCGCCTTTAATCCCAACATTTGGAAGGCAGAGGCAGGGACATCTCCGAGTTCCAGGCCAGCCTGGTCTACAGAGGGAGAGCCAGGACAGGCTCCAAAGCTAGAGAAACCATGTCTAGTCTACAAAGGGAGTTCAAAGACAGCTTGGCTGTTAACACAGAGAAACGCTGTCTCAAAAAACAAACAAACAAACAAACAAAAGCAAACAAACAAACTAGACGGAGAGCAATAGAGGGAGATACCAGATATGGACTCCTGGCCTTCACCCCCACCCCCTCCACACACCAAACAAATGCTAACTCACTGAAATACTAACTCACTTAACCAAAAAGTTTGAATTAAGCATCTTTAATGTGCATCTTAAAAGACAAACCAAGTAAAACAGATGTGGTAACAAGAGCCTGGAGAGCTCCCTGAATAAACACACAGGAACAGGGTGGAGCTCAGGAAGCCATCTGACCAACAGGAGGCAGAATTCTGCATGAGTGTTCCCGCACCCAGGGGTGCTTCAGGATCTGGGCCAGGTTCAGTCGATCTGAGGGATGGTACCTAAGAAGCTTGGAGATCAAGTCCTGGGCCCCTAAGGGCACTGATTGAGGAAACCTCAAATCCACCTAATGAGGCCAGGGAAGAAGGAGGAGAATTTAGTTAATCTCTTTAGTTAACTTTCTCTGCTTTGTCAATCCCTTCTGCACCCTTCTGGTTATAGATCATTGCTAGCTGTCACTGACAATGACCAGCCCTCACCCCCTTGTGTGTATGTGTCTCACCTTGAGGATTCGTTTGTATGTCTCGTTGTGGGTGCTGCTCTCAAAGGGTGGACATCCCACCAGCAGTTCATAGCAGAGCACCCCAATACACCACAGATCCACCTTCTCATTGTACGTTCTCCCTTCAATCATTTCTGGGGGCAAGTAGTCCACAGTCCCACACATTGTATTTCTCCTAGAGCAGGGTCACAGAAGGGGGGGGGGCTCAGAATGAGGGAAACCCTCCCTGTTCAGGAGGCAGGAGAGCTAGGGACATCCTGAAGAGTTCCCTCCTGAGCAGGGGGTTTCTGAAACACCTACTGTTAATATGAATCAACCATCAGAGGGGCCGTGGGAGGTGACTCAGTGAAAGCTCCGAGGACCCGAGTTCTAGCCCCAGGATCCACATAAAGCTCGGTGCACATCAATAGTCTCAGGGCTCCTACAGTGAGACTGGAGGCAGAGGATAATCCCTGGAAGCCTGGAAGCCAGTAGGCCAGCTAGCCAACAATGAGCAGCAAACAAGAGACCCTGTCTCAAATAAGGTGAAGATTCACACCTGAGGGAGGTTTTCCTGACACGCACCCCCCCACCCGCACAGACACTATGCATGCACGCACGCACGCAGCACGCCACAGCACACCTATGCTTCAGCGAAGGTAAAGATGGCTCACCCCTCCAGCCACCCTAGCACTTGGGAAGGTTGAGGTAGGACAGAGTGCTGTGCATTTGAGGCTGGAATGAGCTCCAGGCCAGGCACGAATACAACATGAGAAACTGTCAATCAATCATTGGCAGAAGGCTGGGCTGGAGAGATGACTCTGGTTAAGAGCACTGGCTGCTCTTCTAAAGGACCCTAGATAGATTTCCCAGCACCCACACGGCAGCTCACAACCCATCTCCAACTCCAGTTCCAGAGGATCCAATGCCCTCTCCCCTCTGGCCTCCATGGGTACCAGGCATGACAAGGGGTGTATACGACATACATGCACACAAAATTAAAAACTCAAAACCGAAAGCAAACTCAGAGAAGGCAAGCCTTGTAAAGGGAAATACACTAACCCCATGCTTTTTAAAATTATCCAGTCAGGTGTAGTGAAATCACTTCTGAGATAGGAGGTTGCTCCAAGTTTGAGACCAGCCTGGTCTAGAGAGTGAGGAGGATGGGGGGGGGGGGGTTAGAACATGAAGATGGTACAGCTAGCAAGCAAGAGGACCCAAGCGAATGTAGCTAATCAACACAGAAAGATTCATTCCTGGGATGCTTGTTAACTTGACACGGAACCTTACTAGCAAAAGCAAATACTAAAGACCAGAAAAGAAAAGCTCTGATGGGCTCTTCTTTGTGTGTATATACATGCCTACACACATACTCGGACAGAGGACATTTGGTGTCTTTATTGCTCTCCACTTTATTCCTTTCAGGCAAGGTCTCTCACTGAACCTAAACCGGTTCATCTTTGCCAGGCTAGTGGGCCAGCAAGCTTCCAGGATCTGCTTGTTTCTACCCCTTAATAACAAAGGAAGTACTTTTACCCACTGAGACATCATGCCACCCGAGGCTTCCAAGCTGCAAATGCATTTTAAACATATGCATTTGGAAAATAACTTGGAAAAGATGGTGTCCAAACACTAAGGCCAAGCTTGTATCTGGGTCTTATGTGTGAGATGAATCCACCTGACCTACCTGAGAGAGGGGGTATGCACGGACCAACCAAAGTCTGCGATCTTCACTTCATCCCTGAGCCCCAGCAGGAGATTCTCTGGCTTGATGTCCCTGTGAATCACCTTATTCTCATGACAGTATGTCAGGGCATCTGCCAACTCCTCTATTATCTGTGGGAACAAAAGCAATCTGGTGGGGGAGACTTTCTCGGCCTCCCCGAAAGGCAGAATAGGCATTATGCAGTTTTAAGACTACAATTTCATTTACCTACAATTTCAATTCCCGACCAGTAATTCTAATATTTGTGTTTATACACACTGATGCCATGTGGAGCCTAGAGGAAGGTCTTCACTGTGGCTCCTTATTGTCCAGCCACCTTGTTTTTGTTTGTTCATTTTTCTCCAAGACAGCTTTGGAGCCTGTCCTGGAAATCCCTCTGTAGACCAGCCTGGCCTGGAACTCACAAAGATCTACCTGCCTCTGCTTCCCGAATGTTGAAAGTTGTGCACCACTAACTCCCAGCTCAGTAATTTTTTTTTTTTTTTTTTTTGAGACAGGCTTTCATTATGTAACCCTACTTACTGGCTTGGAACTTGATATGAATCAGGCTCACCTTGAACTCCTGATCCTTCTGCCTCAGCCTTCCAAGAGCTGGAATTATAGGCCTGCAAAACTCTATCCAGCTAACCTGCCAATATTATGTGTATAGTTTCCTTTTCTGTATTCTTTTTTATATGCTACTCACATTATATCTATTTATTGTTTTTATGTGGTTCTAGATGTGTGAGTGCATGCACAGCTTCCCAAGACTACCTTCTGGATTTGTTCTTCCCTTCTACCAGGTAGGTTCCAGGAAGCCAAACTTAGGTGCTCAGCCCAGGCAGCAAGCATCTTTACCCCTCAGCCAAGCTTTCGAGCCAATGCTAGAATCTCTGCATGACATACAAGACCCCAGGTATGGTGCAGTACCAGCACTCAGGTATCAGAGGATCTCCGGATTTGAGGCCAGTCTGGACTACACAGCACTCCAGGCAGCAGTCGAAGACTACTGACTTAGTTGGGGTTTCTAATGCTTTGATGAAGCATCAAGACCAAAGAGTAAGTTAGGGAGGAAAGGGTTTATTAGGATTATACGTCATCACTGAAAGAAGTCAGGACAGGAACAAATCAGGGCAGAAATCCAAGAGGCAGGAGCTGATGCAGAAGCCATGGAGGGGTGCTGCTTACTGGCTTGCTCAACCTGCTTTCTTAGAGAACCCAGGACCAGCAGCCCAGGGATGGCACCAGCCACCATGAGCTGGGCCTCCCCCACTGATCACTAAATGAGAAGATTCTTTACAGCTGCATCTCATTGAGGCATTTCCTCAGCTGAGGATCCTTCCTCTGATGACTCTAGCTGGTGTTAAGTTGACAAAGCCACCCAGTATAGCTACATAGTTGAGACTCTGTCTCAAAAGAAAAAAAAAATCCTAACTATGAACGCTAATATTCAAGACCTACACTGGGGATCAAACCCAAGAGTAGACAAAATAACTGGACCATCAAGTTACATCTCAGGACCCCAGGAAAAAAATTTTTAATAAAAATAATCCAAAACCTGGGTGCTGGGTGGCACATGCCTGTCACCCTAGCACTCAGGATGCTGCAGGTTCAAGGCCAGCTTGGGCTATAGGAGTTCTGAGTCATTCTCGCTATCTAGAAAGACCTTGCATCAGGAAAAAAAAAAAAAAAAAAAAAAAAGAGCACCCTGAGTCAGGCATAATGGCATTTCTATAAGACTAGCACTTGTGTGGCTCACCCAGGAGAATGGCACATTTCAGATCAGCATGGAGATTCTGGGGAAGTCTGAGCTAGCCTGGGCTACACATAGCAAGATTTCCCCCATCTCGGGGAAAAAAGGGGGTAAGGATGGGGGAATGAAAACCATCGAGATAGCTCAGTGGGTAGGGAAGCTTTGCTGTGCACGCCTGATGACCTGAATTCCCGGTAAAGGGGGAAGGGAAAACAGGCTCCTCCCCCTCCAAGCTGTCTTGTGACTTCCACATGTACACTATGGCACGTTTGCCCTCCCCCACAAATACACACAATAATAAGTGAAGAAAAAGTAGGAAGGGGGGGGGTGTACTGGCTGCCACAGGCGGTAACTCATCATCATCACATAACAACCTCTGGCCCAGAGCTCCCCTCACCGTGGCTGTACGCTGCTCATCTAAGTGGTGTTTCCTCTGAAGCTCCTTATACAGCTCGCCCTTTGGAGCGTATTCCAGAATTAAGTACACCCGTCGAGCATCGTGGAAGTAGTTGTACAGGCGAAGGATATTCGGGTGTCTGAAGGAGGAATGAAGGAGGAGTCGGGGGCAGGCCAGTCGGCACGGCAAGCTAAGGCACTTACTGCCAAGCCTCTCAACCCGAGTTCCACCGCAGAATCCAGATGGCGGAAAGTGAGAACCAACTCCCGAAAGTTGTTCTCCACGTGTGTGTACCGAGACACACACGTGGCCCACGTGCCATGACACCCCCTCATTAAAAAACAAAACTGATTACTTTTAGTGGGGCAGCGGAGGCACACGCCTTTAATCCCAGGAGGCAGAGGCAGGATTTCTGCATTCAAGTCATTGTAGTCTACAGAGCAAGTTCCTGGACAGCCAAGGCTACACAACCCAAGCCCCTGCCCCCAAGACAAAACAAAACAAACAAACAAACTCAACTACTTTTGAGACAGGGTTTCATTATGTAACCTGGTTGTCTTAGAACTCACTATGTACACCAGGCTGGCCTCAAGCACAGTGATCTACCTGCTTCTGCCTCCCAGGTGCTGGGGATATAACAGAATGATTGATATTACCTGAGGGCCGGGTGTTGATGGTGCACACCTTTAGTTCCAACACTTGGGAGGCAGAGACAGATGGGTCTCTGTGAGTTCAAGACCAGCCTGGTCTACAGGAGTTCCAGGACAGGTCCCAAAGCTACACAGAGAAACCCTGTCTCGAAAAACAAAACAAAAAAGAAGCCGGGCAGTAGTGGTGCACGCCTTTAATCCCAGCACTCTGGAGGCGGAGGCAGGCAGATCTCTGAGTTCGAGGTCAGCTGAGTCTACAGAGCACGTTCCAGGACAGGCTCCAAAGTATTACAGACCCAGTCTCAAAAAACCAAAGAGAGAGAGAGAGAGAGAGAGAGAGATCACCTGAGGAGCAACACTAGGGGCTGATATCTGACCCACACAAGTGTACACACACAAGACTATTTAGTGTGTCCAACACGGGGAGAGATGTGAGAATATTACATGGTCTAACTGGAATGAGCTACAGAGAAAAATCTTCACGGTGAAAACAAAAGGCTTATATTAAGCACTCAGGAAGCAGGCCAAGGTAAGAGGTCAGGCGGGCAAGAGGGAATCAGAAACTTGAGGCCCCAGCTGCTAGTCCCACACAGCCCACGCTTGCTTACTGTAGGTGTGCCTGGATCTCCACTTCCCTTCGAAGCTGGTGCTCCAAACCCTCCTTCTCTATCTGGGACTTGAAGAGGACCTTCAGGGCCACAATGAAATGGTTTTCCTTGAGCCGAGCCAGGTACACATTCCCAAATTTCCCCTTGCCCAGGGGACGCCCTATGTCAAAGTCATCGATGGTGAAATGCCTCCTAAACAGAGAAGGAAGAGATGGCCACGTCTCAGAGACTAGGAGAGTTAAGACCCTCAGCCCCCCCACCCGCCAACTTCCTCATTCACTCAGCTCACAGCCCCAGAGCTAGGTGTTGACTGGGGGAAAACAGCATCTCGGATTCACTAGCCAATGCTCCCCTGGCTCAGCGTGCCCCTCACCTGAGTCCCGTCTTCTTTCTTCTACATACCATGGCAAGGCACTCACCTGATTAAGGTGCTGGGCTCCATCTGGCCAGTAGCTAAAGAAAAGTGGGAGAGGGAGGAAATAAATAAATAAATAAATAAATAAATAAATAAATAAATAAATAATGGCGCGGCGATGCTCAACTGCAATCCCAGTCTATGGGAGGTGGAGGCATGAGGATCGCAAGTTCAAAGTCATCCTCCACTGCATAGCAACTCTGAGGCCCACAGAGGTCACAAGAGAACCTGTCAGAGATTGGGGGAGAGATTAATAGTATAAGAGGAGGTGACGAGGAAGGGAAAGAGGGAGGAGGAGAAAGAGAGGGAGAGGGGGAGGGGAACTGAGGAGGAGGAGCCAGCGGGCGGAGAGGGAAGGTTGAAGTCCTCAGTGCCCATGCACCCTGACGGCTGACCCCAGTCCTTTCTGCTCCTCCTCTGGTTAGTGTCCCGCTTCTGTTTAAGACAGGGTTTCACGGTAGTCCAAACTGGCCTCTAACTGCGTGCATCCTCCTGCCTCGGCCTCCTCCACGGTGCCCGGGCTCCCATCCCTCTTACTTGTGGGCGAAGCTGCCCCCGAGGGCGGTCGCCGCCCTCCCTGAACTCTGCAGAACTGGCGACCGCAAGCTGGAGCCCCGCCGGCTGCTTAGGTCCAGGGGCGCCCGGAAAGGGGTTGGCGGGTAATGCAGCGGCCGTGTCCTCTTCGACCTCCTGGGATGCCCCACCCGGCTCAAAGATTACCCTGTCAATTAAGCCTCAAGCAAACCGATGGAACCGTGGAGCCTTTTCCAGAACGCGCCATTCCAGGGCTGGCGGACTCCGCTTCATCCCCATTGGGGATCTTCCTGACGTCAATGGCATGCGCGTGAGAAGCCAATTTCCGCCGCGAGGGGGTCCGGCCAATAGGATGGTGGGGGCGGGGCCAGGCGGCCTCTGGAAGGTAGTTGGTAAGCAAGGTTTGCACAAGTCAGTCAGCATGGACAAATGAAATAATGATTTAAAAAAAATCGCGTCCATGAAAGGCGGTGGAGGGGCACACCTTTAATCCCAGCACTTGGAAGGCAGAGTCAGGCAGATCTCTGAGTTCCAATCCAGCCTGGTCTACGCCGCAAGTTCCAGGACAGACAGCCAAGGCTACAAAAGTCTTGCATACTAGGACTCTGTAAGACTTTTGTACAAGTGTTTTCATTTTTAGGTTTTGTTATTTTTTTTTCCTTTTTTTCCCTGTGCTCTGGCAGTCCTGATACTAAGTGGTCCAGGCTGGCCTCCAGTTCACACACAGATGCCGGTCTCTGCCTCCCAAGCTGTGGGAAACAAAACCCTGGGACTATCCAAGTGTTTTAATCCTCCCTACCCAGTAAAACTTTTGTTTATGCAAAGGCTGGCTGCTTTCTTTTAGGAATTTGTTGGCATGGAGAAGTAACCCGTTCCCCTTCCTCTCATTTCTTTTCAGACTAGCCAATTTTCCAACCCACGACACCTTTAGTTCCAGCACTCAGGAGGCAGAGGCAGACAGAGCTCTGAGTTCGAAGCCAGCCTGGTCTACAGAGCTAGTTCCAGGAGAGGCTCCAAAGCAATACAGATAAACCCTGTCTTGAAACCCCCCCCCCAAAAAAAATACACCTCTTGTCTATATTGTGTCCGATTTTTGACCCACCCCCACCCCGACTGTTTGTTACACATCTGAGCTGTGGTTTCCTTGCTCCAGCGGTGCAAGCGCTGACCGAAGCCGCTATTGCTGACCCGAACCCGAACCCGGGTAGGGTCCCTTGACTAAAACAGTGGGGCACACGGCAGCTAGTGGGATCGTGGGACTTTGTGTCTGCTCTGCAATTCCTTTAAGGCAGGCACAGCCCTGAGACTGCACTCCCCACTGAAAGACCCCCACTATGCTTATTGCCTGTTTGAGCTGCTCTTGCTAACTTGCCAAGGTCAAGTTCTGGGAAAGTACAGGAGGGAACCAGATGTTCCTCTCCTCTGACGCCAACCAGATATCTGTGGTCTGCAGCTTGGACCAAGGCAAGGACAGCAGGATGATATCGGGAACTGAAAGGTCCTGGGAACATTTTATTGAGACCACCAGAGTGCTGAGGTAGTCATAACTGAATTCTTTGTGCCAAACATCTCTGTCCTTGGCAGACCCCAATTACCTGAATTAAATGGAGCAATGAAATCCCTGTAACCATGCTTCTGCTTCTGTAAGCCTGCTTCTTGCCACCCCAACCCTATATAAACTGCCTGAGTTTTAACCTCGGCACGCTCAGTCCCCCGAAAGACTGAAGTGTCCACAGGTACCTGTGTGAGCAATAAACAGCCTCTTGAGCTTGCATCCAGTGGTCTGGTCTCGTCTCTTGTGTACTCCTACTGCTCAGCGACAGTCGCTCCCAGCACTAGCGAAGGCGAGACCTGTTGGCCCTGCCGCCCCAGCAATTTGCACCAGGCTCATTTCACTCCTCCATTTAACAAAATTTCGCTTGCCTTAGTTTGTTAACAACTATTCTGCAGGGATCAGGATGTGAAGGATCTCCTGCTGCAAGATGCTATTTGGTGTACACATGTGCCACCTATAGGCCATACATAATTACTACAAGTTGAGATCTGCAACTAAAAGAATCAAAGTTCCAGGACAGCAGGATTATATATATCTAAGGTAATTATAACATCCTTCGAAATTTAAGCTGATATAATAACTGAGATCAATTATTCCATGCCAATGGCGGATAATCTTAAGATACAGGACGTTAGGAATCTTTTTGTTTTCTTTATGGATGGGATCTTTGAAGAGGACCATGTCTTAATCAGAATATACATGTTTTTAATAATGGCGATTTGTTTCATAATCAATATAATATCCTTAAGCAAAGGGTTTGAGAGTGGAGTGAAGAATAAAGAACTTGTACAAACCATAGGACACTTAGTAGCAAGAATGCAAAACATGGACATAAAAATGATCAAGTAGAAGACAGAATTTATTCCGTGTCCGTTGCTTCAGTGACCATGGTAGAAACAGCCACAGGACCACATTAAGACGCCAGCAGAAACAGCTCGTTCCTTGTCTGATGACTCAGATAATAAGATTATAAAAACAGGAACGTCAGATGGGAAAAATGGCAGACAGATTCTGTTCCGTGTCTGAGGGTGATGGCAAGCTAGCAGATGGAACATTGTTCCTGGAAGGCAGTTTACATGCCATTCAGATAATATGTAAGGATGAGAATATTAAATGTATAGAATCATTCGTAGTTTGAGAAAACAAGAAACTGACTGATTCAATGAAATCTTTGGAAAACTATGTGTTTCAAGAAGTTCAAACACTCAGAGAAACAATGGTGAAGATTGCAGACCTTAGAAGACCTTCACTCCTGAGGTACAGGTAGCAGGGCATGAAAGAGACTTAAAATTTCCTACACCCTTCAGGGTCAGGGGAGACTTGCCTAAGGTCATTCTTTATGCCATCTTTTATGGCTTTCTCTGTACCTATTACTTAAAAACCAGCAACAGAAAAAAAGAAAAGAAAGAAAGAAAGAAAAAACCTGAAAGGTGGGAACCAATACATACGAAAGATTTAGAAGGTATGAAGGGAGCAGTAGTCTGTAATGGCATGCACTCACCATATGTGAAGCAATTAGTAGAGTCATGGGCCAGGAATAACAAGATGACCCCTAAGGATCGGGGTCAGTTAATATCAGCTGTCCTTGAGAATTCGCCTCAAATAGAACGGAGGGCTTTGTGGGGGGGGGAGAGCAAAAGCTCCTGAACTTCAGTTTTCAGGAACCACTGCACTGCAATGTTCTGTTCCCAGTTTTTTTGTTTTGTTTTTTTGTTTTTTTTTTCTTTTTTGGCTGGTTTGGGTTTTGGATTTTGCTGTTTTGGTTTTTGAGAGACTGTCTTGCTGTGTACTCCTGGCTGACCTAGAACTCACTAAGTACACTACTGGGCTGCCTGCTTCTGCCTCCTGGGTGTTGGGATTAAAAGTGAGCACCACAAGCTGAGACTTGTTCTCATTTTAAGTCAGGGTCTCCCACCATCCTGGCTTCTGACTCACAACAGTCCTCCCTCCTCAGCTTTCTGAACACCAAGTTCATAGGCATCAGCCACCACACCCACCTTCAGCGATGTATTTATACAGATGGGAATTTTCCTGTTCCAGGGGAGAGTGGCATTGGTGATATCACAACAGAGAAGTGGCTGGGGCTGAACCCTGAGCAGAGAGACTTGTATAAAGATGTGATCCTGGAGAACTTCACCATCCTGGCCTGAGTGGCTGAGGAGGGCTTTGTGGCGGAGGTGGGGGTGACTGCCTGAAGGCTGAGATGTACCAGCACCTGCTCGTGGTTGAGCACATTTGTCTCTGGACCACTTTTCACTGTTGGGATATCCTATGTGAGCAAGGATCAGGATGAATCAGGAGAGCAGTGTGGTGCCGTGATTTGTTTTCCTCCTGGTGTGTGTGTGTGCGTGCGTGTATCTGTTTGATGTGTGTATCTGTGTGAGTGTGTTAATGTCATGGATGGCAGGTGGAGGGTGTGTGTGTGTGTGTGTGTCCCCATCTGTCTGTTTGATGTGTGTATCTGTGTGAGTGTGTTAATGTCATGGATGGCAGGTGGAGGGTGTGTGTGTGTGTGTCCCCATCTGTCTGTTTGATGTGTACATCTGTGTGTGAGTGTGTTAATGTCATGGATGGCAGGTGGAGGTCACAGGACAACCTTGGAGGTCCACCTTATTTGAGACAGGGTCTCTCATTCATTCCTGAGTACAACCGACTAGCTGGTCCATGAACCTCAGCCAGTTCTCCTGTCTCTGCTTTGCTGACATTTCAGACACGACCCTGCCATGCCAGGGTTTCCTGAGTCCTGCAGATCCACACTCAGGCCCTAACACCCACACAGCCAGGACTTGACCCACTGAGCCACCTCCACAGTCCTTTTTGTTGCTTTTGTTTACAGATAATTTTTTTCCTGAATTTAGTGTGCATTTGTGTGGGTGTGTGCTATGTGTATCCAGGTGGTTGTGGAAGGCGTAGAGGGCATCAGATCCCCTGGACATGGGGTTGTAGGCAATCATGAGCCACCAGAAGTGGGTGATTGGAGGCTAGCTGGGGTCCTCTGGAAGAGCAGCAAGTGTTCTTAACTGCGGAGGGAGCTCTCCAGTCCTGATTTCTTTAACTTTTAGTTCTGTGTATCTGTGTGTGAGTGTGCTAATGTGAGTCAGAAGAGGGCATCTCTTCAGCCCCTTGCTCAGTCTCTTGACTAGTACAGCCAGCAGTTGGTCCTCTCGGTGGCACCTAGCCGATTAGCCACTTCCTCCCTGGGGCTAGACTAAGTCCTGTTCCCTGAGACCAGAATGGTTGCATTTGGTGACTTCAGCATCTTCATCTCAAATCACAAGAGTGGGAAGTTTCTCACAGAACATGTCTCTGTGATCCATTTCAGAAAAAAAAAGACCAGGATATTGAAAGGCAGGTTGGGATGTCCATGACGGTGGAGAGGACTCTCAAGAGAGGAGTTGTATCAGTACACAAGGAAACACTCACTAATGCACATGAAAAGATGTTTTCCCCAAGCAATGATGATGATATTCCAAGAATCAGGCTCTCAGAGCACCATCTACTTGGAAGGC